TACCATTTTATATAGTTCTGTGTGGCCTATAAAACTTGTTTTGAATTCTGCATGGGATGTTCATCTCCATGATAAGACCATTAGTAACAGTGACACTGGGAGGAGGCAGAGTCCCAGGCACACAAATAGGAAATATTAATCCAAAACAAAATTGCAAAATGCATTTATTATTTTTTTTTAGATAGAAGCATATTTTCAGACTTTTTTCATTAGCTCTTTACTTTTCACTATAGGTGCCTGTATAGGTGCCTGTAGGAGTGTGGGGTTTCTACAAAACCTGTGTTCCTTAATTTGGTGTCACAGCAACAGGATGTTTATTTTAAAAAATGTGACCAGCAAATCAAGGAGGGTAATTCTCCCCTCTACTCTGCTCTCATTAGATCCTACTTGGAGGACTGTATCCACTTCTGGAGCCTCCAACATAAGGAGAACTTGGAGGTGTTGGAGCGAGCCCAGAGGAGGGCTGTGGAGGGCTGGAGCATCTCTCCTATGGAGACAGGCTGGGAGAGTTGGGATGTTCAGCCTGGAGAAGAGAAGGCTCCAGGGAGAACTTAGAGCACCTTCCAGTGCCTGAAGGGGCTCCAGGAAAGCTGGGGAGGGGCTTGGGACAAGGACTTGTAGTGAGAGGACAAGGGGGAACGGATGAAAACTGAAGGAGGGGAGATTAAGGTGAGACATGAGGAGGAAATTCTGGAGTGTGAGGGTGGTGAGAGCCTGGCCCAGGTTGCCCAGGGAAGCTGTGGCTGCCCCATCCCTGGCAGTGTTGAAGGGCAGGTTGGATTGGGCTCTGAGCAACCTGGTCTAGTGGGAGTTGTCCCTGCCCATGCAGGGGGCTTGGAACTGGATGGTCTTTGAGGTCCCTTCCAACCCAAACCCTTCCATGATTCTGTGATGTTGCAATTACTGCATTAGTTTATAAGGGCAGATATAAAAGACTTCTTGAAGTATGCTCAGCAGTTTATCAAAGTTCCCCAAAACAGGTGAATGTCAGTGATCTGTGTGACTTCATTGAGGGAGGGGAGCAAAAAGGAAGAATAGAAATTGCACTGTTTTTTCTTGCTGCAGGATCTCTATATAACTTCATTTTTCTTTTATTTTCCTTCAGGCTGGTGTTTCACAGTCTGTAAGCCAATATAGCTACAGTTGACCTTGCTGAAGAGTTTTTTAATTACTCGTCAAGTTAGTGTTTTCTTTATACTTTCCTGGATGACATTTACAGCTTGAGGAGCTCATAACCTAAGGGATGCTTTATAGAAGCATTTTACAGAGATTTTAGTTGTGCAGGTAGAAAAGAAAAGACAACTTACATGCTGCTCCCTTTTAACACACCACAGGCAAGAAAAGCCTATAAGTTTAGATGTTTAATGAAGTAAAGAGTACAGCAAAAAAAAATATTAAAGAGCCAAGAAGAAGTCTGAGGATCTTATCAAAGACTGGAAGGGGGTGGGAGAATATTCACTTAAGTGGTAGATAGCATTTGGCTTAAAAGGGTAATAAGCCAGTATGAACTGTTGTCCTGTTTACTGGCTGCCCAAAAAGGTTGTGGAGTTCTTGAAGATACTCAAAAGCCTTCTGGACGCAGTCCTGTGCAGCCATCTCTAGGTGTCCCTGCTTGAGCAGAGGTGTTGGACCAGATGACTTCTAGAGGTCCCTCCCAGCCTCAATGAGTCTGGGATTGTCTTAGCTGAGAGGGTGGAGGGCAGGGAACTGTGTTTCACAATTAGCTCTGCTTAAATAATGACCCTAACAGGAGAACTTGTGACCCATCAAAACGTTTTAGTAAGATCCCCCTGGTATGGTCCAAGTCCCTCTACCACTCTCTTTGCAGTGACATTACTGTATGTGGGTTGATCTTTGGAAGGGAAGAAAGAAAAGAAGATTAAGGGATGTGTGGATGTGTGGAGCTCAAAACAGTGCCATCTCTTGAAATGTGATCTCTGTGTGGAGTTTCTGGGGCAGTTGGTTCCCTGGGGCAGGGAGTTCTTGCTGCAGTGCTGAAGGCCATGAGAGACAGGTGGAAATATGTTGCCATTTGGTGAAAAAGCATTCCTAATTCTTAGCCTGCTTCCCTTTAGATACTTTGTGTATTTTTTAAACACTATTTTCTCAGTGCTACCTTGCTATTTAAGTAATTCTTGTGGCAACCACTTCTTTGTTGTGTGAACGTGGGCTCTGGAGCAAGAACAGGATGGAAGCAGTGGGAGTTTGTAATCCTGTTGCCCTGTTGTTTCTGCTTTTGTTCCCTGTCAGACGTTGTTGTAAGTCCTGCATTGCATAAACATTAATTTATTATATTTTGGGATTAGATGCTTTCAAATACACAATTACTTGATCACAGAATTGTGCTTCAGATCAAGAAAGCTGCATAGAGTGTTGCTTTAGCCATTCAGTAGCAACTTCATAGCTGATTTGTTGGGGTTTTTTTGGATGCTTTATGAAGTCATGGCAAGAACCATCCTGTGTCCACAGCAGCACTGGGGACTTCTTGGTTGTGCCTGGGTTTTAAGTTGGGGTATCACCAAAACCATTATGAAACCTATTGCCTGGGGTTTCTGCCATAGCTTTGCTTTTTGCATTTCTAGTTTGCTAGAGAGAGAGGGTGGAAGAGCAGTCTGTAAGATCCAAATTAAACACAGATTATTTGCCTAACATGGTTCTCTCGTTAGCACATCTAATATGAATAACGTTTGGAGAACAAAAGCGTGGTAGAAAAAGAAATGAAAACATTCAGATCCCAAGCATTTGGAAAGCATGACACTGATGTGTTTGTGTAACCTTTTCAGGAAGAGCGACGATCAAGTCCAAGAGGGGATTTTGATTCCCTTCATTAAAAGCTGATTAAATGAAGAAATAGGACAGTCGTTCTTTTGCTTCGGTAGTTGGGGGTCACAGGGGTGGCCCTGATCTCCTCGGGATATTAACGCCTGCTTCCAGTTGGGGGAAATGAGCCGTGGCCAGAGTTGGCTGCAGCTTTGTGTGCTGGTCACTAGGGATCCCCATCTGTCCTGGGATCTGCAGCAGGGGTGGCAGGGCTCGGCAGCAGGGAGCAGGGGCTCTCATTGCTATTCATAACAGGTAGCGCGGCTCAGTCTGCCCAGAGCAAGTCTGTTTCATGTTGATCAGCTGTCCATCTGATAAACTGAATTGATACGGACATTTTCTCCAAGGGCTGCCCTGACAGTGACAGCAGGAGCATCAGGATGTCTTGTTAGTCTTTTTCTCCCAGCTTGAAATTTTATTAACCCTTTGTTAGAGCCAAGCCAAGCACCATTGCAGTACCACGGCTGTAGCTGCGCGCGTTCCTCCCTCACCTCTTTGAAAGCCACCATCAACCTTCGGTTTTGTTGTCCACCTGGAGAATGGCTTGCTGCTCTGTTTGCAGAGGGCTTTTCTCTGCACGGAGCAAAAATTGTGAATTAGAAAGGCTGCTTTTAAAACAGCTTAGGTTTTTTGTTGTGTGACAAAATACATTGGGAACCTCTGTTTATCCTCTCCCCTCAAGCTCGTCTGCCTTTTGCACGCCTGCCCAGGCTGTGTGGCTCTTCTGATGTGGCTCTTCTCTCTTGCTAATTGGCACGGATGATTGACCTGGAACAGTTGCTGCTGGGGCTCTTCACAGGTCAGATGTGTTTGGGGGAGAAAGTCACTTTAGATTAATATCATTTGGGGTGGGTGCAGCACATCTGCACTCTCCAGAGGAAATAATTTCCTCAGTGCTGTGTTGGTACCAAGGCAGGATCTATCCTGAGCATGTATCAGCAGATCTATGCATATGTGAAGGTACAGAGCAGTTTGGTTACTCAGTGAATCAGTGCTTAGTCCCTTTGAAAAAGCACAGGGAGTGTAACATGCCTTTGTGCCAGGTTGTGATTTAATTTGAACTTTAGGGTCATATGGCTTGTTGAGAGCATGCATTGTGTTTTTGTGTGAAGTCTCCATGACATAAAGTGAAATGCTTGAGTCAGAAAAGATGTGGATGTGCTGAAGATTTCATCAGAGGGAGGCCTGTGTATGTCTAGGTTTGCAGCATTCAGAGGGTGCTTTGCTCTGATCTCCCTCCTTGTCCCTGCTTAGTTGTTGTGTCTGTTCATCGCCCTGTTGTAATTGTGAGCTAAGGTGACATCTCTGGGCTCTTTGGAGTGACAGTCACTAACTATCAGGGGCTACAGGGTTGGACTGACAGAGGAGGGGAGGAGAAGGCTGTGCTAATGACTCTTTTCAGGCCTTTTCCAAAAAATGAAAATAAATAGAGGGTAAGCCTCTATGGGATAACCTCTGTGGCAAGCCTCTCCACAGGGATTTGAAATCCCTAAATTCAGAACATAGCACAGTGTGTGTTGGAATAAGAAGTGATTAGTAAACCTGTCCAAATAAAATTGGCTCTGCCCCTTTGCTGGGCAATCACCTTTGCTGCTTCTGACCAAAACAACCAGCGAAACCGTATTAGTACACATTTAAAAATGTTCAGCTTTTGCTTCTCTCCGCCCTGAGTGCCTTCCCCCTTTGGTATTATTGAACTGCAAGGTATCCTGTTATTAATTTACCTTTAATTTGAGCAGTCATTGACTGCAGCATTCTTAACAGTGTTCAGATCAGCTTGCTTGCTACTCCCCTGCTGATACATCCTTTGTTCCTTCCCATCAGTACTTTCTGCTTGGCATTTTCTTCATGTCAGTGTCCCTCAAGCTTCTAGAAGACAAAACAAAAAAAAAAAAAAGAAAGCACCATGAGGACTATATTGATTACTTCACTTTATTTTGTGAAAGAATTCAAACAAAGGGCAGCATTCCTCTAAATGGAACCTGTTGGTACCCAGGGTTTACCTGGAAATACTTAAAGTGATAGTTCTCTGTGCTTAACATCTCCTGGTTGTGGCTTCCATAGAAGAGCTACATGATAATTCATAAAATATCTATTTAGCATTTGTGTTTTGTTTCCCCCGAAGAATCTATATTTTATTTACAGCATCAAAATTAATTGTACATCTTCTTTGCTTTCAGTCAAAGAAGCCTGGCTGAGATTACAGAACTGATCCACACTGCCTTTCTGGTGCATCGTGGCATCGTGAACATCGGGGAGCTCAAGTCCTGTGATGGCCCACTGAAGGATATGCAGTTTGGAAATAAAATGGCTGTTTTGAGTGGGGATTTTCTTCTAGCAAATGCTTGCACAAGCCTTGCACAGTTGCAGAATACCAAGGTAAAAGGAAATTAAAAAATTCTTCTACTGCTAGAGCTACTAGTGAATCTTCTGAAAGAGAGACCCTGTAATAAATGAGCAGTTATGGTGTCTGTATAACTGGAGCATCCTTTAAAAAGCAGCACAGTTACATTACAGCTGTAGATAGATTGACAGGCTGCTGCTGTGAACATATTTACCATTGTTCTGTAGAATTGCTGTGGTGAGGCCTTTAGTAAACATTCTGGAGCACTGCAGTAAGGGGTGAGTGGTTAATCTGGTGAATTTAACTTCATGCCATGTCAGACTACACCACCTCTGGCAGACTGCCAGCTGAAGACATGCTAGGTTTGTTGTTTTGTTTCACCTTGTGCTTTGTGAAAGGTTTGTCTGTCTTAGGGAATTCTTGGGGGAAAAGGCTTCATTTCTTTGTCTACAGAGCACTCAGGTGACTTTTTACTCTTAATAAAATTACCTTGTTAGGCATTTGGGTGCCCCTGAGTATTGGATTGCCCTATTAACATAGAAGTACTGGCTTCTAAAGGGCAGCTGCAGTCCAGCTGCTCAGCCAAACTGTTTGAAACTTTACAGGAAATGTTTTTTATGAGAAAAGAATTGTAGGTATGTATGTTGGTAGCAAATGGGACCGATGGAAACCTTAAGAGATCATGTCTGTAGCTGGTTCTTCTTTTCCCCAGGTAGGATCAGCTACACCAAATAATTCTTCACACGTTTGTCTGGCTTGTTAAAACCTGTGGTGGGGAGAGATTTCCTGGGCATCCCTGTGCAACTGCAGTGTAACACCTAGTTACCTGTGTCCAGTGGAAACAGAAAAGAATTCCTTTTTCCAGGGGTACTTTTAATACATCTGAAGATTGCTGCCATATGGAAGTGTGAGATAAATGTTTGTCACACATCCAGCTGTCAGTAATCAGCACAGTTCCAATCCTGAGTTTAAGGAGTCTTTTTGTTTATAGATTCTCATGCTAAAGCTCCTCGGGATGGTAGCTGAGTATTTTTCTACTGCTTTCATCATGAGTGTGACAGTTGCTCTCAAAAGTGGTGTCATTTTGTAACATAGAGCTGAGATTCAGGAGGAGAGACAGAAAATGAGATGTCAGTCTGCTAGAACCATTTAGCCGTTATGGTGATAACTGGTAGGAAGTATTTTTTTAAAAGTTTTGAATAGTGCAAAATTTTAGTCATGCCATAACCAAAACGGGATGCAATCGATTTTACTGACTATTGTTGATTTGGATGCACTCATTATTTATTTTTTTAGCACTTAGTAAGATTCTCAAGACACACCAAAATATTTAACCCTGCATCCGTTTTTTGTTTCAACCCAAGAGCAACCTTTTAGAAAATGTAGCACCTACTACTTTGCGTTTACTACATGATTAAGTATTGCAGCAGCCATGTATAATGACTGAAGTCTTGCCAGGAAACAAGCCTACAGTGAAGTGAGGCACAAGTGCAAAGAAACATTTTCTTATTGTGTTTTTTTTTTAAAGCAATGATTATACTTCACGTCGGAAAATTCTGCCAAAACATTTTAGCACTTTTTTTCCCCCATTTTTCTGACAACTAAATACTTTCAGAGCTTCTACACACGATAAGTGGGATGCCATTATGGGAACTGATTGACTTAGGAAATTATTCTTTTTCATATGTCTTACCCATCTAGCAAAGTTAGAAAAAATTGAAGCAGGAGCTATAGAAATCTCTTGACAGGTGCAATGATTTAAACATACTGTATTTATTCTTTTGTAAATGAGGAATTTTCAAATCTGGCATCTGTTTTTCAGCAGTGTGAAATAACTGTGACTTTTTTCCTTCATAATGTTTTGTTTTCTTGGATGGATAGAAGTAAAAATGGGAGTGCTGGGGTTTTGGGGTTTGTTTTTGTTGGTTTTTTTTCTGGCATTTAACTGGTAGCTCAGCCAGTTGTCTTATAGAATGAGCAGAATTATATCATACGTGGTACTGACCATGGTGGGCTGTGACCTCCATAGATGTGCATAGCTGTTGTATAGTCTAGAATTTAAACTAAAGGGGGTTTTAACATTTCACTGAAACCACCAAGATAATTTTATTTTTATGCTGTTAAACTCTTGTTGAAGCTTGTGTATGATGCATTTATCTCTGTGCTTCTCTCGGGGCTGACAATTAGATGTGAAATTCTGTAGCCATAATGAAACGCAGAGCTATTTTATAATTGTCAAGGGTAAAATTAGCAAAGTCAATTATTTTCCCTTAGGCTTTTCCCTGTAGATATTAAAAGGCTGCAAGGTAATTGCCTTAGGTAACACTTTGATTTTTAAATAACATTAAATATAGGAATTGTTGCTGTTAATTCATGGTAATTTTCCTCCTCTTGCTACTGTTGTAGAATATAACTGTAATGATGTTAACAAGAGTCGAGGCTCAAAGTCAGTGTTTTGGGGGATTTCTTTTAAACTAGTGCTCACACTTCTCATATGTTTACTAAAGTTATGCAATATAAGGGTTCGGAGGGGTATTTTAGTTTAGGTTTTTTTAATATCTAAGGTACAAGGACTCTAGGTTTCTTGAAATGTCAGCTAGTTAGCCTTCTGTAAAATAAATTCTGCTGTCCTGCTGTTATAAAGCCATCTAAAATGTTGGGGTTTGATCATACATAATAATTCAGAAGAAAGCATTCACATTTTCTGCTTTGTGAAATTAAGAGACATTAATTCTGATTACAAAGTTGGTATTGACTGGGGCTCAAAATCAAGTACTGAAGGGCAGGTGCAACCAAGTGCCACGTTTTCATGATCATGACAAAGTTCTGCATTTATTCAGATAATCATGCTTAAAATAAGCAGTAATTTCTTTAAAAAAAAACCAAACAAGCTTTTACAACTGCAGAGCATTAGATTGATCAGATCACATGCATCATGTATTTATGCTACTTTTATACATTCATGTTAACTTTTTTTGATCAGCTTTTATAAACTATCCTCTTTTTTTGTGTACTTTGTGTTTTGGATGGTGGCTTTCCTTGGCCTTCTGACTGTGTGATGAATTACCTTGTTGATTGAAGATAACATGTGTATAACCTTAGATAATATGGATATAACCTTACTTTAGACCTGCATCCCGTGGTAGACTGGACATTGCTAATCCGTGGATTTTAGAACAGAATTGAACCCTGAGAGGAGCTGGGTTTGGATCTTTCAGTAGTTGGTGCATCAGGAGTGAGTTTAGGAATGGACAAGGAAAGGCACGGTTGGGTTTTGCTAGTTAAACAACACAGCTAACACCTGGTAATGTGCTGATTTATTGGATTAAGGTGGGGTTAAATGGAATTATGGGGTTATGTTGATAGGTTTTCTCACTTTCAGGCTGCAGTGTTTTGAGACTAGGATTGTGTTAAGATGCTTGTAAAAGTCATCATAAACATGGAGATGTGAGAGAGATTAAAAAGTAAATGACATTTGCCTAACAGAATAAGGTACCTCCCAGCTACCTGTGGGGTATATGACCTTATGCAGTTTTAAATAAATACATGAATAAATTATTAAGAAATGTGGAAGGATATCTTTAAGAGTTGGTTTTTGTAAGGTATATCTTTTACATTTTTTATCTAGCTTTGATCAAGGTGCTCAGAGCAAGTTTTGTTGCTTGAAAGTGCTTCTTTGACTCTGGTAGCAAAAAGTGTGTCTTTGATTTTTGCTGAAGTAGCTTTCACTTCCTGTAATATTTTTTATGTCATTTAGGTGCAAACATAGCAAAAGTAACCCAAAAAAACCTCTAATTGGCATTTTTGTCACCTGTCAGCCAGATGTTACAGACTTTTTAACACAAGTGTTATCAAATAATGTGCTTTTTCAGGGGGTGTCACAGATAAGTTGGAAGAAACCTGTTGCAGCATTAAAGCTGGAGCTTCCTAGGACATCTCAATCATCACTTGTCTTATGAAACTGTGGAGAGGGGACATCAAAGATGTAATTGTGACCAGTTTTGATCCTCCCACACTCCAAAGACAGGGATACATAAATCTTCAGAAGGATGACATAATGTGTTTTAGTGCAATGCCTGCTGTGATGTGGTAATGACTAGAGAAAATGATCAAATAAATCCTTAAATCCATTGCTTGCAGGTCTATGAACCAATAGGAAGGCATTTTAAAAAAAACAACAAACCACAAACTAACCAACCAACCAAACCTACACCATCAGAAACCAACGTATACAAACAAAAAAATAAACACAGCCCGAAATACATGTAATGGCAACATTCTCTGTAGTTATTGAAAACTGAAGAATGGCTGGTTTTCCCCACTATAATTCAGTGAGCTCTTGTTGGAATGACTAAACTGCTCACAGAAGCATGTCAAAATTTACAGCCTGAAAGCTTGGAATTGAATTTAAGTCTCTTGTCTGTCAGCACAGAGCTCTGCCAGAAGACCAAGTTACAGAGCATTGTTTTATTAAGCATTATTTGTTTATAAATAAGCAGTAGCACAGATGTAGTACTTATATAGTGGATGCATTTCCTTATGTTAAGTTGATGTATTCCTAAAGGCATAAATGTGTTGTTGACAAAATAAGCCCCTTGTTTGCATAAACATGAACAAGTTACTCATCTAAGTCTTCCTAAGTCTTCCTGTTGAAACAAGCTGCATGTACAGTCTGCTTGATGAAAGAACTGCTTAGCTGGAACCATGGTTTCTGCTCCTGTAGCATCAGCTCTGCTCCTGTGGGGCAGACTCAGTTTTGAACTTGAGCAACTTGGCTCCTTGCTGACCTGTGAGGGATACAGAGAGTATGTCCCTGCTGCAATTGCACCAGTTCCTCTGTGGATGTAAATCGACATTTTTGGGAACTGACAAAACAAGTCAGCTAAAATCTACCATTTTAATTTTTAAGACAGGTAGTACATGAACTTTAAAAAAAAAAATTTTTTTTTGAAGTGTTAAAACGGTGACAAATCATGAACTGGCTAAAGAAGTGATTCCTGGAATCAGTGGCAGTTTTCTGGTCCTCTTTTCAAAA